CCCCAAACCCTAGACCCAACAACTCGATTGTGCTGCGCAGCATATACCACGACACGCTCCGGGCCAGGCCCGGAGCCTTCCGAGGTTGCCTAAGGCCCAAAGGGCCCCAAGGTCTCATTTGCCCCCGGCAAGAAATTCAGAGGGGGTTTTTGTTTCGATGTAGGCGTGAGATTTTGCACGCTCTAAGTCTCTGTTTTTCTGCTTCCCCCCTGCGCCCTAAATTTGCTAAGCCCCGCAAGCCTAAACCTCGCTGTGAGGTTTCTATTCTTCTACTTCATTGCAGCCATCCTGGTCTTGGCCATTGCGCTGCTAAACTTGGTGACCGGATGGGAATGTATGGTATAGCATAGCATAGGATAGCACAGCATACTATAGTAGCTTATTGATAGAATACCGTACGGTATAATTAATACAGTGTAAGAGAATGTGACATATTTATGATGCAGCGATTCCCAAACGTTTCGCATGTTCCATGAAGTTTGACTCGGCTTCGTTTCTGTAATTGCAGCAATGCTTGCGAGGTGACTGCTGTGATGGCCCCCCGGTCAAATTTTGAGTCAGGTTCATGGGTGAATTTTGAGTGCGAAGAGTTTGGCCTTCAATCTTGCAGCCTCGGTGAATCACGAGTAATTGCACCATGGACCTATCTTTCCAGGTATTGAGTTGTACATACTTCCTGCTCTTTGCGAGGTGGCCATGCGAGTTTCGATCTGTTCCAGCATTCACAGTTGATTGTCACTTCGCTGAGGTAAACACATCATTGGATCAGGCCTCCCAGGACCGCCATGTCCGAATCGCCAGCCTATCTCAGACACTTCCACTGGTAGCATACTGGCGCGAATAGATATGGGCATCTACCTACGAAACCAAGAGGGCTTCTACACGAGGACAAGGAAGCGAAGAAGGCTTGGGAGGCAGCCAAGCGCAAGAAGGAGGTGGAGCAGCTGCATCCTGGCATTCAGAAAGTCAGCTCTATTGCGGGCAGATTCTGACCATGCAAAAACTTCTCATCGAAGATGGCACATCGACTGCAAGTTATTTTAGGTTTAAGAAAGGCCTGAACCTGTGCAGAACCATGCCGGCAAGAATCGCAGAGGCTCAAAAGTAGCGCACAACCCGGAGCGCCATAAACCCTATACCCTCAAGCCCTGAATGCTAAAGCCCAAAGACCCGAAAAAAACCCGACAAACCAGAGAAGCACCCTAAACCCCTAAACGCCTTGAACCCTAAACCCTAAACC